CATATTAAGTGAAAGTACAGGTAAAAGAGATTCAAAGGTCCATCTCAACAAAAGACGACTGTTTATTCTCATTTGGTTTAACTACGACATTCAGGTTGAAGCAGTCCACGAGAAATCCTCCTTCGGTTCTGGTGAAAAAAGGCTGAACTTTAGTTCATGATTTGATGGGCATCATTAGAGCACGAGCCTCAAGTTAGCACTGAGTCACGAAAATTTGAAAATTTTGCAAGAAGGAGTCCCAGCTCTGATGGTATGCATTATATTACGAACGGAACGACTTCGAAAACCTGAATGTCGTCTTCTGTTGATGTCAATCTTCGAATAACTTTATCAGGCACTTTCAAACGAAATAAAAGCCTTCACAAAAATTGCCCAAATTCTACAAATAAAAAGGGTAGGAAGTATACATTCAACATAATATTAGATAATGAAGGTCCTTTGTCATTCCTACATGAGCTTGTAGGTAAAGAGGGAGACAAATTGGACAGAGATGTGCAAAAAACGTCCTTTTCTAATTTCATGAAGAAGTAAAATTTTCCCATCTAATCTATGCCTAAAATCAAGAAAATTTGCCAATTTCTCTTCAACGTGTTATCAATAAGTTAAGGGTTAAAAGCGTTTCTTGAATTGAGCCATCCTCGAGTTGAGCCATGTGGCTATTTTCTCAAATTGGTGACAGACACGGTTTCATTGTTAAGCCGCTTGCATGTGCATACCTGCCCCCATGAAGTCTACCACATGATGAAACAAATGTATTGGGAGGCTAAGGCAGTATTTGCACAAATCAACAGACACAGATCTTTCGGATTTCGTTGTACCCAACATGATAATTTTCTTCCACCTGCCTTTGTAAAGGAACTGCAGTTTATGCTAACAAGGGATTCTTCGAAACCATCTTTTATTCATCCCTAGAACTGGATGTCTTTGAGAAGTGTAAACAAAGCGGAAAACTATATACAAAAGAAAATATGTCGTTGCTGCTTGAAGAATATTTAATTTCACAATCCATAGCTTTATAACTACTTGCATAATTGTGAGTAATATGCGGCGTTTTCGTGAAATGTTGAAGGTTAAATGAATAAAAGCAAATCAGAGCCAAATTGATTAAGCGAAATGGATCAGATTGCCGGATTGCATTACAAGGATCACATGAGGCCATATTTGCGGCTTGACTAAGTCAGTTAAGCCTGCACCTGACTGCGATGCCATAAATTGCAGTCTACAAGAAGTGGGAGAGGCAAAACCGAACTATTTCGATGCCGTCATAGAGACACGGTAATAATTCATTGTTTAACGCCTTCCAGAGCGCATTAATGGCAGCCGAACCAGCCTAAAATGGGTCGTCAGGCAGCCGAACAGCCAGACAACCGGATCGGAGCTAGAAGATGAAATGAGGCTCACATTCGTTGCCGTCAAAGAAATTTGCGACTCTGGCTGAACGCCGGCTGATAGACTGCCAGAACATGTGACTGAGTGAAACTGAAACCGACTGAGAAAAAGCAACTAGTCAGTCTATAACCATAGTTACAGGCAGAATGATAGTTTGATTAATGCGCATAAATGCATACCGCAATTGGAAAATTCACCCAATACTCATAAAGGCTTCATTTTTATCCGCTAAAATGTCACTCTTCACTAGTTTATAGGAGACACCTTTTATGTTCGAATTTATAGAAAGGTGATACCATATCCAGGAATAATTTCCTTATCTGTTTATGCCAAGTGATAGGTAACTAGGTCAAAAATAGATCTAAAACATAATGAGACTAAAAATTTGCCGATACATGCTTAACTGCTCCTGAATCCGTGAACATGATTCTTACTTTTGCATACAATTTGTTTTTATGCACACAAATAATTATTTAATGAAAATTGGATGTCGAAGTCTATTTTTCGTTCAAAATTATAAAATTTTTTGTAAAGCTTAATTATATTTCGAGTAAAAGTGTTTGGTGAACCGATTCGAAGTTTGATTCCACCAGAAGAAGACGGCAGATTTCTCTTGACCAGCTACCGATTGGCTTTACTGGATCATTCATGCTGACGCTGTTGCCGAAGCAATCTCATTCGATTCCGGTAAGAAGGTGCAAGCTTCCGTCCATCATTCGACGAACATTATCAGAGCAAAGTATCATCGTCACAGTTTTTATGAAACAAGAGATTCTTTGAGACCCGAATTTTCTTCGCATACACAATTTTTCCCATAACCGTCTTTTTACATACACAAAATGTGCACTGAAAGTGGTACACCATACTACTAACATGTTATTTTAGTAGTGTACTTCTCATTACGGCCTAGTTTAGTCACATTTAAAGAAAAGAATGGCCTCGAAGTATTCTTTAATGACATTATGTAACTCAAATTTTAATTTTAAAGAATCTCGTAATTTGTGTCTTGTGGTCGAGTCTGTTGGGTGATGTGAAGCAGACCTTGGTTCACTGTCCTGCAACCGCAATAGATGATGAGCCGAAAACTTCTTCACACAATTTTCCTTAGCTTGCCAGCAAGAAAAATTCACAACTTTTTTTCACTCAACTTTTCATATAAAAGGAAAAAAATATTCATATTTTTTTGCTTGATTCAGTAAGCTTTAATCTAATTATCGAAGCTACTTTAGAAAATATAAACCACTGCAGCCTGGAATCTACACGAAGCTTTACTAACTCGTCAAATTTGTTAATACACATTTATGCATTCACAATGCTCTGAAGATAAGCCAAGTTAGTAAACTGTGTGAAAGGATCCAACTCCACTTTGAGGAGTCGTACCTCGTCACCTCTCCTGAGACGTAAGGCAGATATAAAAGTGGAAAAATGTAGGGTTGAAATTGTTTAGCGACCAGAAGGTGTACTAAGCTTGTTGGTTGTATGTGTATGTTCGTGAAGCTGGTGGAAGGGAAAGAGAGAATTGGAGCGAGGCAACCGAAATAGTCAACTGACTGGATTTGTGCAGCCAAAATGGAAGAGAGGCAGAGAAATAACGCAAAAAGTTGACTTTGATTTGAGATTCAGTTCTGCAG